GTTTATATAGTTTAGAAAAGAGGGGCTGCTGTTTTAATGTATTTCTTGCCTCTTTCAGATATTGCGAAGATGCATCATCATCCTTGCAGCTGTCTGTCCTCCTTTATCCGTTAACCGGATGATGGTGTTAGGAAGGCAGCAGCAGGAAAGTGTTTCACTGTCAGAAATAGGACGAGCTGTTTGAGACGGCATCTTTCAGCTCTCATTTGATTCGTACTGCATTGTTTATGAAACGCTCAAAGCTCATACTTTTAGACATTTTTAAGTGAGCAACTTTTTATTTTAGAAATTGCAGTAACTACTCTTCTTTTAACAGAGCTTCATGGTGAATGTGTGAACCATAAGAGTTTTTTTTTTTAAAGTGTTGATATTTTCTTCAGGTTTCCTGTCAGTATGTATGAAAAACTAAGTTAATTTGTTTTTTTCCTCTTGAGCTATTTCTGCTTTCTATTTCTGGTTGATATGGTTGTCCGTATGGTAATTTATTGATGTATACTAGGATAGGTTTTCTCCTGTGTTTTTGTGTTGTCATGTGCTCACATGTAGGCTACATGCATCGCACAGAACTGTGCTTTTATGTGTAATATGATGTGGGTATTTTTTAATAGTATTTACTGGTGGTATTCAACAATAGAATGCATGCTCACCCAGCCAGTTTTCTGATTCTGGATTGAAAGCTTGCTTTCTCCAAACGACAGACCAAAACGTCAAAATATTAAGTTAACATTTAAGAAGCTTGTCCGACACGAGCTGACACAACTGGTATTTTTCGTCAAGCAATTAACTTAAACCGACACTGTGGATGATACATTTTGAGCAGTTGAATTCTCAATTCATCCGTACTGTAGTAGTCTTTAGTAAAAGATTTAGTTTGTTGGTGCATTGTCAGAGGCAAGAGGAATATCATCAAACTGCCTCATGCTTAGTAGAACAATTTACAAGCTTTATTCAAGATGTACAATTGATAGATTGTCAGCTCCCTCTGGTACAGGACTCGAACTGCTTCAAAACCAAGAACTATATATCTGCACATACCCCCTGATAACACTATAGTTCAGCGTCAAAATGCACTGTCATCGATAAATGGGTTTACAGCGACCGAATGGAGGTCACTCTCACCAATAGGAGAGAAGACAACAAGCCAATAGCATGGCCTCTGAATAACCTCTTATCCCGATCAAATGGCCATAAAGTTAAATCTCAGCTAGGACGAAAGATTCAAGACACTGAACAAACATTTTAGAATGAAAAACTCTTTACCTCTTTCCAGGTATCTGACCTCCTGGTAAACTATCACCTTCACTATGTAGTTATCAGTCTTCCCACCCTCCACCTCTCAGTGCCATCGCCGTTAAAAAAAAGCAGCTTACTATCTCAAATAATCTTTCAGAATTTGAATTGAGTCTTTTTTATTCATGCTTGTTTTTCAAACCCACTCAAATAGAGGAGGGGTTGATTTCAAATGTCCCTTTTAGTTCTGATTTGCATTTAAAGCGGTGTCATAAAGGCTAATTTAAAGAAAACAGGAATAAAGCAAAACTTGTGTAGGTATTGGTATATGCTTGATATTAAATATAAAAATATATAATAGGCAATTTCTTGATTATTAATAAAAAGGTTCTTATTAAAGAAATTGTGATCCAATTAAAAGGGCATGCTGTTTTATCAGTGCACATTTTAATTAACTGGTTACATTTGGATCCAATTTACATATCTTTAGCTGCTCAATTGTCATACTCAGTTTGTTTCTCGGATGTCTGCAGATTTTTGTTGTATGTTCTTTTTTCTATTCAAGCTTAATTCAACCTTTGTAGCTAACGGCAACAGATGTCAAATGAAGTTCGAAGGATTTTAGGGTGTTGGCTGTATCAAGATTTAAACAAAGTTGAGCACAGTGGTAAATGTCAGGTACACTCTTGGGCGACTTAGGGAGTGCAAAATCTTCACATTTTAATTAGGCTGTAATGAATTATAACGCTCTTCTCAAGTAAATAGGGATCACATTTAATTGGTGTTCAAGAAATAAATTGGAAAGTTACTAAATTATAAAACCAGCTTTGGTAGCTGTTAAACTGAAGGATTATGCAAATGTGTAAAAGCCATATCTTTATTAAGTATTTGCATATTTATATTATATATGCATGTATAAAATGTAATGTATGTGCACCATGAGTATTGCATTAATGCCCGGGTGTATGTTAATGTATGATTTTTATTTCCGAATATTCCGTTTCTGAATATATCAGAATATTAATATAATCTTCAAAAAATTGTAAATGTAAACAATCAATCAGAGGAATCCTAAGTGAAAGGCTGTGCTTCTGCGTGACTTGGCACAAAAACAAACCCAAAGTCCACCCTGTGTTATCGATTTGGTGGCCGGTGCTAATATTAAGCAATAAAACAGAAATAGAAATGTCAGGCGGCGCTGCCCTTTTCTTTTAATTTTCTCAGCCATTCATACATCTGTTCTTGTCTCTTCTTACCTTCTCAGCAGCCATTAAGACTGAGACCTTGTGTTTTACGGGCAGCTCAACAGCGTCTTAATGCAATTCAGAGACCTACATTCTACACCAGAGTTGCCTTGGCAACAAAGTCCCCCCGCCCCTCCCTGAGATGCTGAAAGATCAATAGAGTATCCTCGACGGTGTGGCAGGAAAAGCTCTGGCACAGATGGTCCTCTGAGAAACCTTAGTGGCCTAGTTACCATCTGAAAACCAACACAATCAGGCAAGATCGCTATTATGTTGAAACTATACAAACTTGGGCATCAATATTAGATTACATCTGAACTAAAGATCCTAACAGTGTTGAAATGATCTCTCCCTATCCTTCCTTCTCTCCACTTATATGAGTCTGTTTTATAGAAAGTATCATCTGCAGTGCTGTAGCCTACTTTATTGTTTTAGCTTCCCCAGCATCTTTAAGAAAAGAAAGATTTGGGGAATTAATTTAGACAAGGCAGGCACACTGTGCTGCCAACCATAAAGAAGCATCGCTAAATAAATAAATTCTCTCCAGGGGGGTTGAATTTTCTCACTCAGTGTACCACCTAGTATGTGTTTCTGCCCTTGGAAATGGTTTAACTATGTCACATGTTGTTCTTTTATCTTGCTTGTACACTCTTTGTTGAATAAATTGCAGACGAGAAATGTTTTTCAATTTCAAAGAGTCAAGGTGGTTGTATTTCAGAGATTGAGGTTACAGCTTAGCCTGCAGAGTCATACCAAGGAGGGAGGTAAACACAAACCTAGTGAAGATGGGGGTCCAGTGCTTTTCTAAAACACAGTTTAATGGCTTACTGAAATGTAGTATAAAGTCGAAGAAATATACAGTCAGTGTTGAGTAAATTCAATCAACAAGCTATGAGAAACCACCCCACTGGTTTGAACTTGTGCTTCAAGCTGTCCTATTTCCCTTAGAGGAGGACATCATAGAAAGCCAGATTTTAATGAGAGGACTGATTGGACAGCGGTATTTCATAGTTAACGAGGTGCCCTGTTGTCTGACAGACAGTAGCCAGACAGCAGTGTGTGTCTGAGCAAGAGAGCATTTCATTGCTATGCAGGTTTGATGTAAAGTGACAGAAATGCACTTACACTTTCTCACTATGTTAAAAATGCATAACAACTCTCTTCCGAGCAAGTTTGTTTAGTTAGGACACAAGTAAACACAGTGTTCGTACAAACATGGTGAATTAGGAAAAGCTCGAGAGATAGAGGAATAGAGTTTGGCTTGTCCTTTATTTCTGCATCTGTGGCATTTAAAATATTCCATGAATCTCACTGCAGGCGTTTTTTAAATTACATTTTAATTTAGGGTTATCTGTACTGTGAGCATTAGATGCTTTTGCTTTGGGCACAATGGGGGGAAATCAGTGGTGTGAAGGACGTCAGCAACACCTCAACATGGTGGAACATAGATAAAAAGTCTCTTAAATTAGTCATGACAAATTGGATGAAACATCAAAAATGGTGGAAAAACAGACAGTATGTGTGTTTAAAATCCCCAGCCAGCTTCTCCTGTGTGAATTAAAATAATTATGCTGGACCTCTTAAAAAAAGGGGAATTAAAGTGTCACCCTGTGGGGTAGTTGGATGTAGCAACCCAAATGTCATCCTTTAAACACCTAGAATAGAAAAGTCGGCTGTCATTCCTTTACGTTATCGGCTCTAACAGGCTCTCATATCAACTGTGAAGCTTAAGGGGTTAGACATCAAGATCAGGAGGGTAAACCCAGTGACAATGTGGCATCAGCACATCACTGTTTGTGTTACACTGGGGTCTCTTTTTGGTTATTGCAGCAAAGGATCACTTGTTACTCATGTCACCATAGGCGTGTTCTCTCCAAGAGGCGTGTTCTCTCCAAGACTGAAATCAATACTTCTAAATGGGAATCAGAGAATCAGAACATCCTCAGGAAGGACTTGAAAACAAGCCGTATTTCCGCCCTGTTTCACTTCACCTATGATTTACATGACAGGTTTCAAATTTTGCAGTACATCTCGGAAGTATAGGGCGAGCAAAGAGCATGAAAAGGTCATAAAATCCGTGAGCGTTGCTGACAAGCGCCCTTTCCCACCTTCAATTCTCCATCCTGATGTGGAATTCAGAGCAAGAAAAACACACGCCTTGTCATATGGTGGAAATGTACATGGTATAGTGTTGCCTAATATAGGAAAATGTTCCTCTGATCATTCAAGAAATGATATGGTTCAGTGGTGATGCAGCCTTGTGGCAAAAAACATTCTGTCATTGCCATTAAAAGGCTACAGAGACATGGGTTGCTGCAGCCTTTCATCTTCCCAGGTGCCATTATTTCAGAAAAGCTCAATTTCATTTTGTGATTGATACCTTGCTGGCAGTCTCTGCAATCTCGGTCAGACTCTTGATTTTTGCAGCAGGCTCTCATAAGGGCGACAATGCTATTTATTAATTAAAGAATCTTTAAAAATGTGTGACTCAATGTCTCTCCTTTTTTCTCTGTTTGTTTCACACAGGACCTGGAAACAAATCAACAATGGACCGGCTGGTTCTGTGCGTGCTGCTGTGCGCAGCTCTGGCGAAGGGATACAGCTGCCCGGGCCGCTGCATTTGCCAGCACCTCTCACCCACTCTGACCCTGCTCTGTGCTAAGACCGGTCTGTTGTTCGTGCCCCCCTCCATCGACCGCAGGACCGTGGAGCTAAGACTCACAGACAACTTCATCACCATCATCCGCAGGAAAGACTTTTTCAACATGACCAGTTTGGTGCACCTCACGTTGTCCCGTAACACCATCAGCCAGATCATCCCTCTAGCCTTTCTCGGCCTGCGGTCCCTGCGGGCGCTCCACATGGACGGGAACCGCCTCAGTGCGATAAAGACAGACCACTTAAAAGGCCTCATCAACCTGCGGCACCTCATCTTGGGCAACAACCAGATCCATCAGGTGGCCGACACCGCCTTTGATGAGTTTGTCGTCACGATAGAGGACTTGGATCTTTCCAATAACAACCTGCGCACCCTTCCCTGGGAAGCCATAGCCAGAATGACCAACATTAACACGCTCACGCTGGACCACAACCTGATTGACCACATTGGAACGGGGACTTTTACACTGCTCACCAAGCTGGTGCGCCTGGACATGACGTCTAACAGGCTGCAGAAGCTGCCGCCGGACAGCCTGTTCCAGCACGCTCAGGTGCTGTCGGACACTACGGGCTCAAGCTCCTCCACCCTGGCTGTGAGCTTTGGAGGAAACCCTCTTCACTGTAACTGTGAGCTGCTCTGGCTCCGCAGGCTGACACGAGAGGACGATCTGGAGACCTGTGCCTCGCCGGACCACCTCATGGACAAGTATTTCTGGTCCATCCAAGAGGAGGAGTTTATCTGCGAGCCTCCACTGATCACAAAACATCTTACCACAAAGCCCTACGTGATGGAAGGGCAGGGTGTGACTCTCAAATGCAAAGCAGTGGGTGATCCAGACCCAGAAATTCACTGGCGGTCTCCAGATGGCAAGCTGGTGCATAACAACTCCCGCACCATCCTTTATGATAATGGCACCCTTGATATTCTCATCACCACGCTGAAGGACAGTGGGGCCTTTAATTGTGTGGCCTCCAATGCCGCAGGCATCGCCACAGCTGCTGTTGAGATCAACATGATCCCCTTACCCTTGTTTGTTAACAACACAGGCCACATGCGTGAGGACCCCGGCCTCTCAGACATCACCACCTCCTCCAAATCTGGCAATGACACCAAGGGCTACGACAAGCAGGACAGGAGGGTGATGGTGAGCGAGCTGACCTCGTCCTCCGCTGTGATTCGCTGGCCATCAGAGCGCCACATCCCTGGCATCAGGATGTACCAGATTCAGTACAACAGCACCGCAGATGATACTTTGGTGTACAGGTAAGGCATGGTGGGGGGGATGGTTGGATGGAGAGATAAGGGAGGGTGGTAGAGTAGGGACATGAGGAAAAGGTGAGACATCTGGAGTCACCATCTGCTAAATGACACGACGGTCCATTATGGCAGTTCGACATATCCCAAAGATGCAAAATGATTAAGTATGTCCAGATATAAGCAGAGCCCCTATAGTGAAGTCTGGGGTATAAACTAGGGAGGACATTTTTAATTTTTACATTCATTTTAATTAATTTGCATAATAACATGCATCAAATGTGTGTAGATATTTACAGACCCAGAAACCCATTCAAGTAGATTGTTGCATCAGCTGAAGATATTGTGGAGTCCAGCACTCTGAATAACTAAATGCCCCTTTCATTAAAACATGATATGACAACAAACAATTACATGAGGCCCAACTATTTCACTGCATGTAGCTGTTTGTATCATTAGCAAGTGCCTGCATTAATTGGTTGAAACACAGAGTGTGATTAGCTGCGGTTTTCTAATGATAGGCTCGGTTGCAGTGGTGGAAGAATGATTTACATTGGTTTTCTAGGTAGAAGCAATACCACACTATAAGAAATGCACTTTCCCAGCCCTGCATTCAAAATGTCTCAGTTCATTTTGACTGTCACATTTACTGTACATTCTGCTGGAGGTAGTTTTAATCTCTTAATGTCCAGTTGTACAGTTGATTTGCCCTTACAAATATTTACCTTCATGTATTGTGCTCCTCCTTTGGATAATTTTACCCTTTGGGGCCTTAAAACAGCTATAAAATAATTTAGGAAGTTTAATAGTAAAATATTTTGCTTGTCGAACTGCTAAAAACTAATAAACATTCAAAATATAGTAAAAAGTTCCAGCGAGACACTGACTTTATACACTGGTTTATTTAACAATGGAAAAAATCAAGCAAGGAACAGCAGTAGAGTAAGTGTACTCAATTTAACAACAAAATGTAGCTTATTAACAGTCATGTCTTATTATCCAAAATGGCCCTTGTTGGAGTGTTTTATTTGTCTAATAAATAATCGTTACTCAAGCATTAATATATATTTGTTAATGTCTATAGTCAAGGTGGAACCATCTTACTTTATAGGCTTATTGTATGGTTATGGTTGTATCGCTGTAAGTACTGTAGCGAGGGAGGAGTATATGTTATCACACGAGGAAAATTCATCAAAACTGTATTTAATTACAAGGCTTTAGTAACTTTTCACCACTGCAACAAATAATGTGTGAGTAATATATAAAGGGAACATAGAAAACTGGCAAAATCAACAGAAGCAAAGTTACACTATTTTCAAAATAGTGAGTAAAAAATTTGCAAACGTTCTTATAATAATGTTTGAAATCTGAGAATATGTTTTTCTTATGCAATATGTGACGCACACTAACCGGATGTTGTAATCCGAGGAGTACTTCAGGATTTATGTATTCATGGGGCAGGTTAATAATAGTCGTCGCCTTTCTTTCTTTTTTTTCAGGTTTTATCAGATATAATGATTCGCTCTCCTGTATAATTTTCACATCCAGTTAAGGCATGGAGCGGAGTGTTGTTTGGTCTTTAGGAGGTGCATTATTACCAAATGATAACCATCAAATTCTCCCTTAGGGGAGAAGGAACACGCTTCTAATTATATTAACGCCAATGTTGACCTGAAGACAAAGCCTTCCTCCGTTGTATTTAGAGTCGTGTAATCTTGAAGTTCCCGACAAAATGTAACCTTATGTATTCACACATCCAAACTGCCTTCACATCATGCGTCACTTGTCCTGCCTCCTGCAGTGGTTGTGGCATATTGTATATAACAGTGAGCCTCCTCTGCCTTGTTTATCACCTTGTGTTTACCCTTGCTGTCATTCTATACAGAAACTTAGAGCAACTTATCACTGCTTTTTTATGATATAACATATTATCTAATAAGTAAACTCTAATGAAGTGTTGAGCTTTATATTTCTGTCTACCTGAATGAGTAATATTTGCAATGGTTGTCTTTTTGTTGTGTGGAATTGACACCTTTGTGTGATTTAATACACCTTATGCAAATCAGTAAATGTGGGCGTTGTAATTTCAATGATTAATCGTCCATATCTTCACCACCGTGCTGTTTTTTTTTTCTTTGCAGAATGATCCCATCTACCAACAAGAACTTCTTAATCAATGATCTGGCCGCAGGGCGGGAGTATGACCTTTGTGTGCTGGCGGTTTACGACGACGGTATCACATCGTTAACGGCCACACGTGTGGTTGGCTGTGTGCTTTTCCACACGGCCAACGAGGTCAGCCAGTGCCGCTTCATGCACAGCCAATTCCTGGGAGGCACTATGATCATTATTATTGGCGGTATAATTGTTGCTTCAGTGCTGGTGTTCATTATCATCCTGATGATACGTTATAAGGCCTACAGCGGCCCGGAGGACGACAAGTCCAAGGTCAGCTCCAGCATGCACTCGCAGACCAACGGCAGCCAGCAGCGGCTCCAGCGCTCCGCTTCCAAGCAACCGTCTGATGAGGGCCAGCATGATGCGCACGCACCCAAACAGTGCATGGCGCTGGTGATGAGGGCGGACAATGAGAAGAAGGAGAATCCAGCAGCCACCACTGCCATCCTGGAGGTGGAGCTGCCTCCGATGACTGCCGACAAGATGAAGAGAAGAACCAGCCTGGACGCGCAGTGCTCCGGCCCGCCATCCGAGGACACGCAGACGGACAGTAGCCTGACGGGCTCCACCATGTCCCTGTGTCTCATAGGCCCCAACGCTGGCACCAAGGAGGCTCCCAGGCTCAAGGACAAGAAAGGTGCCCTTGCCAACATGGGATTACTCCCTAATGAGCTGGCACGAACTAGGCACAGATTCTCTTTTGACGGAGGGGATTACTCCATTTTTCAGAGTCATAGTTACCCACGCAGAGCGAGGACAAGGTGGCACAAGTCCACCAACCAGCTCAACACGGAGTCCTCGCCGCTCGCCAACAGGAGAGTTACGTTCAGCAGCACTGAGTGGATGCTTGAGAGCACAGTCTGAGCAAAGCAGTGTAGCCGGGGGAAAAACAAATGGCTCTGCAACTCACACATGTAAAATCACAACTATGTCTACATGCCATAAACACACACTTTTCCCATACATAGCAAACTATGAACACAAGCACATTGACTTACACATGCAAACTGTGTGTGAGTTGCTGGAGAAGAACACACCCCCCTTCATCCTGCCTCCCCTTCATACTCCCAGAGAGGTGTGTTGGCCATGTCCTTTCTTTATGCAGCAGTGCCTTATTCTAAAAAGATGTATGAATGGAGGATGCTGCTCACTGTAGTCATAAACTGTTCTCTCGATCATTGCCGCCCACCCTGATGATGGGAAGCATATCTTTGGATTTTTTTTAAATGTTCTTCTTTTTTTTCCTGTGACATGCCAAGGGGGTGTGGCGTTTGGATGTGACTGTTTAATTGTTGAAAAAAAAGAGGAAAAAAAAAAGTCATCATTTCTGTAAAGTGAACAGCCAGGTATCCTGTTATGTCAATCATGTTTTGGGTTCTTTCAAACAAAAAAAAACTTTTGCACAGAAGACACGAGATACAATGACATGTATCACCACCAGTCTATACAATAATAATAATTAAAAAAGAACAGGATTTTACACAGACCGATTTCTAATGTTAGCATAGCAAGGATGGACTTGGAGACCAACCGTGGATTCCTCTCTGACAGTCGGACTGTATGATGTTAAATAGGTATTGTTCCAGATGTGACTGTATATTAATCGGTTCTGTATCTGGCTGGTCTAGATAAAAAGACAACAAACAAAAAAGACATATATAAGTATATTAAAACATTGGTGTATGTGTACTAACTATGTAAGTAAGTAAGTCATATGTCACATGACTTTTTACAAAGCATTTGGGTGTTGGCTGCAAGTTTTTACATTAAAAACCTGTGTCATCACACCTCGCCCTATTTAGTATGTCAAAGTTTGGACCATTTATCCCCTCACGAAGGGAATTAAACATTTTGTGTGGGTTAACTGTATCACTGGTGTTTTATTTGTGTGCTTCAGGAGCAGCAGTGTGTGTCCGCTGCAAGGAGACACACACACATTGACATGATAAATATTTGATTACCAGGTGCTATTTATAAGGATTCTGTGAAAGCTGCACAACGACCTCGGAAGCAGAGTGGGGTGTGGGACGTCGAGGGACGTGATAACTGAATGTGATGCTGAATTCACATGCAGCCCGTTGTTATGAACAAGGGTGTAATATTTGTTGGATCCCTCTAGGGGGAGACAAGGCGTTGTAACGCTCTCATTAACTGCAGGGAAGATGCTTATAACCATTGTTAGGAGAAAGCCTGTGAAGCACCCTGCTTTGAAGGTTCAGTTTACACTTGTATTCAACCTAAACCCTATCTATCTACCACCTAAAAGCAGTACTGTTTGTGAACAAACACTAAAAGACATATAATTATAATGTAGTTATAAGCAGAGATAAGGACATGTTAATTGTGCTCACCACCTTCTTTTGTGAAGCATCTGTAAATGGTGTGTAAACAGATAATACGTGAATTATACAACAGTTATAATCATATTTTGATGATATATAATTACAAACATGAGCATATCCTCACAGTGTGTTATGAAAACAAATCACTTGTCTGCAGGGCCATCGGGACGTTCGGGGCGAATCCCGATGGGCTGGTACTGAAGTGGGCCGGTTGGACGATGTGGGCAGGTCGGATAAGTCACTAGCACCTCCCCCCCCTCCCCCCCCCCCACGGGCGAGAGTCCCGGGCTGATTTATAGTCCCATTCCGCCCCTGCTTGTCAGGTTTTTAAACTGTTTATAAGAATTTGTTGAAAAAACTTGTTAGACATAAGATTTTAGCCACATCTCATGGCAATTTAAGTTTGCTCAGAATAATTGTTTTTTAAATAGATAAATATTCTAATGAGAAAACATATGTATCAATTGTATGTATAAGTAATTTTTGTATGAATTAAACTGTTTATACACCATTTAGAGATGCGTCTTATAAGGATTTATACCGTGGTTGTTGAACGTATATTTATATCTACTTGCAACAAAATGACAATGTGTAATACACAAGCTTTATTGGTTTAAATACTGCATACAGCACAGACGATGGAATAATATGTTAGGGAAACGCATGACAGAGGGAAACAGAAATAAATGGGGGGGATGAAAGATATTTGTTTGCTGCCAGCCTCCCTCTGATTACAGCTACTTAACAGGCTGAGATGAAACTGAGCTGTGTGGACAGCATAGAGATAAAACCTGGAGCACAGAGATAAGTCACACTAGAGGTTTTCAATCCTCTCAAATCTCCTCTTTGCATCCTCAGTGATAGATTGAGGCTGAGAACAGGGTCCTCAGGTCCGTTTTATTCATCATTCTTAACCAATGTTCAGCCAAAAACCATCCAATTTTAGCACAAAACCTTGTTGTTTTTACAGCTAGACCTAACTTAAGTTAGCTAACTTAAGTTAGGTCTAGCTGTTTAAGAGTGTTAATCTCGGCTGTCAATTTGCTGTTCACACATTTTCCAACGGCTTCCCTTCTCCTCATTAAGTCCTGAAGGTTTGCAGGAAGTGAGCCCCTTCCCATTTCTCACAGCAGCAGTGTTTTTCCCTGCCTATGTGTAACCATTATTGAACACAAAATGTGCTTGGACAGGAGAAGGCTGAGACTTCTCCCAGTGTTCAGAATTGGCCGGGGCAGCCAAACTAGCGAACATTGGAGGAACAGCAGAGCACATTGTGTCTTATCAGCAGTTCTGAGTGACTGCAAGAGAAATGTGCCTCAACTTGGTGAGGGTGAGTTTTTTTCACCGAAGACCCAATTTTATGTTTAATGCATACTGTAGTAAAGTGTATTTAAAAAGTCTAATCTGAACATGCTTGTGCTTTCAGGTCTTACTTCCCTGCAAATGGTGTGTCTTTCCTGAAAATGTACTAAATCAACACACTACAAATGTAGCAATTTAGTGAAATTGTAAATTTGCACAAATTGTGATAGCAGCCATTTATCTAAACCTATTGCCATCTCAACCATTTGAGGAGACTTGCAGTGATAGACATCAGCAACAATTCACACCCTGTATTGAAGAATTACTTTTTGAACGCTACAGTATGAATTGGAGACATATTTTATTATTTATTGTGTAGCAAGATACAATTATGAAATACCACAATTGAATCTGTATTTATTTCTTAGCAAAAGTCAGCAGTCTACAGCCATACCATAAGGTTTTTCAATCCTCTACTGCTTTAAGGGTCTTTCAATAGTAGGGGACCAATTGCCAAGAACTGCACAACACAGCAAGGTAAAGTTGTTTACATTTCAAGACATAAACCACAGTGGAGCCCGCCGCCCGCAGTCCTTTTCAGCTGTTACTCCTATTGTAACATGCTGTGTAATGTTAAAATGATCCACTGATCAAATATTGCTGAATTACAATAAAAGCATCCCGCCTTTTCACCCGTGGTTAGTTTCAGCAGCATCAGCAGCAATGATTTTGGTGTACACATTTCCTATTTCCTAGGTCTGAATGCAGGTGGTAACCACAACAATAAGGCTTATCCGAAAGTAAAAACAGGAAAACAGGAGTAAAATCAAACCCAGAACGTAAACCACCAGATTCAGAATGAAGCTAGTACTGCCTACTGAGAGGCAAGCACAGAGAGACTTGAGAAGTTTAGTGCTGAGGACACAGCTAAGGGGAGCTCATGAAATGAGGTTGGCGTGTTAGCATGCTAAAAATGTTAGCGCTAAATCAGTACTATTACAATTGTATCCCCTGGTCGAATTGAATATCTGGGCAAATTTGTATGCAACTCATTCAAAAGTCATTGAGGTATTTAACATATGAAATGCATATCAACCTTGCATTTCATATGCAAGGGTCTCAGACCCAGCGCCAGAACAAATCTACAGAGAGTGCATATGATTTTCATGGGAGGGCACACAAAACCGCCAAGTGCCAAGGCCCGAGATTTTCTTTTGGGGGTGCTGTGGGGTAGCTTGACGTTTCATAGCTAGAGTGCTCAAACATTTAGGGTTTCCCATTAATGTACCGGCGCTACAGTTGAATTTTCTACCTCAACACTCCCCACACGCACATACATAGTATACACATGCGACTGTTACAATGAAGGCTCGATAATCAGCTCACATAAGCCGCGTTCACACCGGAGTACTTTTCACCGTACCTTTCACGTTTAGTTCCGTTAGTACCGCTTATGTCGTGTTCACACCAAAAAGAGCACTTAATCTCGGGAACTTTTACCCCCATTTTTAGTGCCTGCTGAGAGATGGTACTTTCCTGGGGGAAAAAAGTGCCCCAGTTCTGATTGGCTGGGCGAATTGCAAACCACGCCCCGTACAATTCTGAAATGTTTTGTAGAGCCGCCATTTTATTATCCTGGCATTAGCATTATTAGCATTAGCATTCGCCCAGTGCACAAACGCAGAGACTAACTTATGGCCACACAAAATAAAACATGGGAGCGGTGGAGATGAGCAGGTGTTGGCGTTCCGGCGATTTACTCGGAAGGCTTCAGTAGAAGCTGCTGGGAGTCCCAGCAGCTTCTACTGAAGCCAGTCCCCAACTCCGGGGACTTCCGGCCGGGGACTTCGGGTGGCAGTATACGCCGTGAAGTTGTTTGCGGCCTGCCAGTAAACCCAAAGCAGAAGAAGAAGAAGTGACGTCAGCGGCACATTTGCCTAATCCTCCCTCAGGGACTTATTCCGGTGTGAACGCGATCTGCTCTTTAGTTCATCAGAACTAAAGAGTTCTGATGAACTAAGTACTGGGAACTAAGTACGGCAAAGTACTTGGTGTGAAAGCGCCATTTTGGAAGATCGTCATCTATTCAAAAGGCAAAAAACTAGTTTGAGAGTGCATTTTAATTTAAATGTCTCCCTCTGGTTTCAATCCTATTTAAGTTGACTATGCTGGGAATACCTCTCGACTTACTGTTAAGTCGAGTGAAGTTGTTTGCGGCCTGCCAGTAAACCAAAAGCAGAAGAAGACGAAGTGACGTCAGCGGCTCATTTGCGTAATCTTCCCTCAGGGAAAAGTACTCCGGTGTGAACGCGATCTGTACTAAATGCCCTGGGGTAATAAGTGCCGGGACACTGAGTGCCGGCACTAAATACGGCAAAGTACTTGGTGTGAACGCGCCTATTGGTCCAGGGGCGCCGCCAGGGATTTTGGGCCCCATGAAAAGATATCACATTGGTTACTTAAACATTTTTTTCTTAATGTTCTAAAATTGTTTGGGCCCCTGTCAGTCACAGGCCCTTAGAATCGTCCTAACTTTTCACCCCCTTACGGCACCCCTGCATAGGTGTAAGCAGGGGTAAAGTGCTATTTTTTATAAGTGGGGGGTGGACCAAACATCCTCTAGGGGGGTCCGGGGAATATTTTTTTAATATTGAAGTTAAATGCATCAATCTGGTGCACATTGAGAGCAAAATGAAGAGATCTATGGATACATCTCTCAACACCCATATGAAACAGAACTGTAAACAGATTTACTATTTCTTTATGGATATTTTACTAATCACTCCCCTTTCAAACTGTATTCTTGTTTTACTGTCATATAGTATTTCATACCTGTTTTTCATGTATTACTCTTATATTACTATCTGACTATCACATACATCGTAGCCATGATCGTAGCATTAAAGTTCACAGTTTATTTATAATTATATATAAATGTTTATAAATAATTAAAAAACTTGTTTATTGGGGGAGAGCAGGAATGTCAAATGGGAGGGCCCTGGCCCTGTGTGCCAATCCATCTATGACCCTGAAGCTAGCTAAAAGCTTCAGATTCAAAAAATGTTATTGTGGACCCTCGCAGACCATAAGTGTAGACTTAAGCAATAAGCAGATTTGTGCCTTTTATTGTGTATAGGTGTATTGAGAAATGGCTTTTTGAAAAGCTTTGGTATGAAGTGCAAAATACATATTTAATTATATATAATGCAACAAGAAAAACATCTATTTATTGGTTGTTTTCTTTCTAGATAATTATTTTATGAGTAATTTTTCAGCAATAAAGCACTCAATTTGGGATTTTGCCCTCTTGCCAAAATCATATTAACCTTTACAATGTGTTTAAGAAAGCTCAGTCAACACAGATTTGACCAGCCAAATTTCTTATGCTTTTTTTGCTTTCCAAGTTTCCGGGTTTGCAGCCAAGCTCAACACATCCCACTCTCTGCTGCTTAGAGAGAGCACTTAGCCTATTGACACTGACTCGGTAAAGTGCTCCGGGCTTCTCGAGTAAGCATACACTTTTCAAATGGTATTCCACCACTTCCTTCAGCATTATATTATCTAAAAATACCCAGATGGCCCAGGACTTGGTACCAGGCTTATTTCGACTTTATCGAAAAAAGAAAGTTAAATACAAATGTAGTTTGACAAGTGTGGTGCAGAGAAAGTGACCAGCGGCACAGAACATGATGTTAAAATGCTTTGAATAGTGCTGTTTGTGTGTTGTGTTAAACTTTCATTGTCAGGGCTTCTGCTGGTCTGACTGAATATTTTTCTCAGGCATTACATTTATCCAGAGTGCCACAAGGCCTTACAGCTCTTTAGCATCAAGCTGAATTACTAAATGTATTCACTTTGATCATGAATGGCAGATTAAGGTGTTCCTCCTGCATCATAAAAAACTGTTTGTTGCACCAAGGTCTTTGATCCGTGATGGTCTTCGGAGAGGAAACCGCTGTCTGTGATTTTCTTTACAAACAGCCTGACAAGTAAAAAAAAGTATTCAGAGCGGAAATTTATTTTTGTCTAGATTTGACTTCCACTCCATTTGCACTGCTGTATTTAGCTCTGAGCACAAGTGAATGTGTACCCAACAGATGGTGGAAACTAATCATCTATATGACAGAATATAGGAATGAAATACATTAAAAAAAATCTCTAATGGTTCCAGAGCTATCCCCAGGGTTATTCGTGTTAACAATACCCTTCTTTTTCACCTCCTTTCTCTTTGTGCAGTTCCTAAACTATACACAGGGCTCCCGCCTTCACCATAAAATTCAAGGACTTTTCCAGGCCCAATTACCTCAAGTAATCGTCTCGGCGTAGTTTGAGACACAGATCAAGGCTAATTACTGTTACCACACTTATAATGAGAACAATCAGCTTAACATGAGCTAGCAGACAATTAAAAAGTGAGAGTTTGAATGTGTGAAGGCTTCTCACTTCTGGGTTACAGTGATGGCAGACGAGTGAAAAAAGACAAAAATAACTATTTCTGTCCTAGCAATGAATGAGTTCAAGCCCTTTTAATGAATCATGTATTTATGTCTGCTTTCAGAAGCTTAATTTATACCACTTTAAATTCACAAACGGACAGGATTTTGATGTGTTACATGTGGGAACCATATAAAGATTTGGCTACACTTGTTGGTCGATAAATTGATGGATAGTTTATTTTTCTTTTTAAATGTGATTTGTTTACAGTAAAAAAAAAATTATAATAATGAAATCACAAGACAAAGCATTTATATTTCACCATTTTTAAATAACCAAAAATATTTTTAAAATAGATGTTTATTTTTCAATTGTTGGCATAGAAAAAAGTAAATGTTAAAAAAATGCACATTTTAAAATAATTGGCCAGTAAAGTTGGAAAACATTTCTTAAATAAATGTGGTTTAAAAAACACCGGCCAATTGAGGACAGAAAGTCTCCCTGGGAGGCTGACAGCCGAGAGTCAATGATCAATCAATGAGCCTGCAGCCCACAGAATCCCTGATGAGGCAGGTGCAAGATACCCCACCCCCCCTTCATGGATGAGGAACTGCCACACAGAGGGCCCGCAGAGAGCCTTCAGCACAGGTTTGTTGATGTCTCACAAAGTACAACACAGAGAGGGCCTGCAGAGAGACGCCCTCTGTGAATTTGAGGAGAGCCAGAGAATTGTGCAGTACTTTCTTTGGTGGTTACCTGAGCGACTGTTTCTGTCCAAGTCTTTGAATCTCAGTCTAGAGAAGTATTATCTGAACTCTCTGCGCCTGCTGCTTTCGAGTTCTTCCTGCTCCTTTTTGAGTTTGGCCCCGAGTCTGAGTCTTTGTGGGAGTCTTGCTTTCGCTTTTTACGCCTGTCAGTTCGTCTTTCCCTTTCATCATTACTCTCGCCTGAGCTGCTGTCCTCTTCTCTCCCTCTGGTCTTCGCAGTTTTCTTGTTTTTATGTCGACTTTTAGTCCTTTTCCTCCGCTGCTTGTCTTTGGGGGCATTGCTGTCATCACTGCTGCTCGAGCACTCTGCTTTCTTACGCTTTTCCGCCTCGTCCTTCTTCTTCTTCTTTTTCTTCTTCTTCCGAGAGGATTTTTTGGATCGTTTGGATAAGCTTGCTTCTGTGTCAGACTTGGCCTTTTTCAGTTTGTGGCGCCCAGTCTTTTTTGTGTCACTGCTTTTTTCACAAATGAAAAGACAAATTGAATATAAAACAAATGAGGCTAGATAGGTTTAGTACGTATGACATAATTCTTAGGGGCAATCCACAAGTAAAATGTTGTTTTAACCCTCTAAAATGTCCTGCTTTTCTCCGTTTTAGATCATACTTGACTCAATGTCTTGACAAAACAAGACTTTAGAAGACATCATCTTAGACTTTAAGAGATTTGACGTACATTTTTTATTATTTCATTCATTGACCAAAATTATATTCTCTGAAGTATTCCACAGAATCGATAATGAAAATATTCAGTTGTCACTCACAGCCCTCATTACAACAAAGAGGTGATGACTGGTGTTATAAAATGACTTAATAAGCACTAACATTATGGAAGTACAGTGTCAAATCTCTAGAGGGCCCCTTTGAAATGAAGTTGTAGAATCATTTTAATCTCTGGCTTATTTGATGCAGTGCAGTTCCATTTTTGCTTACCTGTCCCTTTTAAACTCCTCTGGATAAAGCTCCTTGAAGCCACTATGTCCCCACCTGGCATTTGAAAACATAAGATAAAGCTTTGTCAATCTTGTGCGACTCCCCTATGTTACATTATCATGTAGGGAAATTAAAACTGTCAAGAATACAAAGGAGGACACCAACTTTCTTATTTTCACCTTTCAGAAATATCATCAGCATTTAGCAAGATTTCTCCCAAGAAGTACACAAAAAAATACATGTTTAGATGAAGATGTAGTCTTGTACTGTACCTGTCAGAATCTTTGGCCTCAAACTCATACAGTTTGCGGCTCCAGTATCGAGCCTCCTTTTCATCATGTTCCGAGCCTCGCTCTCTGCTCCCCCGACTCAGGTCTCTGGGCTGATCTCGATCACAGTGCATTTGTCCCCTGAAAAACCATTACATCAATAAATCAGACAGCAACATACAGTAACAGGTCTCTAAACGGAGGGCTCCATTATGAAACATACTCCCAAATGATGCTCTGGTATCACTTGGGTTTCTGTGTCTCAAATTAAATTGGGACATTCACTGTTCCTACCTCTCACTCTTTGTGTCAGGAAAATGTGTGCTGTGGGACGTGTGGACCTGATAGTTTCGCTTTTTCCACATCTCCATCTCCTCCTGGATCTGCAGCAAGTCAACAAGAGTAAGTACATTACAGATTGCCCAGACTCAATGCTTAGACAAACACATGTTATAAATGCTTTACTTAGATGCACAAAATGCATTTGAGTATACAGGATTCAAATACTTAATTCCTGAAATGCTAATTAGTTTGTGAAGCCTTTCTTTTGTGAATTTGCCGTCAAATATCAGTAACATACATTTATATCTTAGCTTAACGATATATTTGTAATCTGGATCAGAAAAAGCTTCAGGTCAAAAACACAACTCATCTCTAGGATAAGAGTTCTTCTGTAGACAGAAAACTCTCTCAGATATTTTAATAATTGTTAACAATTTAAGAGATTTGATTAACATAAATACCACATGCCATCTGGTTCTCTCAAATGTGATGAAGTGCTGCTTTTTCATTGAATGTACGAGATAAGTATGGATCCTTTTCACAGTTCTCTTACATTCATAACAAACAATTGATTAATTGAATAATAAAACATCAGATTACTCCATAATGAAGATAAGTTATTGCAGTTAAACAACTGTACAGATTCAAGATTCAATGATTTAAAGGCTTTATTGTTACGGACAGAAGCAACAGTAGGTAGAAATTAAAAGCTTAAGTCCCTGGCTTCTCAAACAAAGCAACTATCGCATACAAATAAATAACATAGTGACATAATGGTGCAAATAAAATTGAGGAATAGGTCAAATATACGGTATATATGTAAAGATAAAGTAAGAGTGCCTCCAGCAAAAGCAGGGTTAGGTAGGTAAGTAAGTTTAGTTGCAATGTTAAACCATTTTATAGTCTACTCCAGTGATATATATAGACTATTCTGCACAATTTCTATTATATTCTATTTTATTTTATTTACTTGCACTATTATCTGTTGTATTGTGTTGCACCGTTGGAGTAGCCTGTGACCTAAGAATGTAATTGTCATAACTACACTGTAGCTATGTACATATGACAATAAAAGCCTTGAATCTTGAATCTTGATATTACTGATAGGCTACTACTCGGTTCGGTGACAGATGACCATTTACTGATTTAACCATGAAAATAACTGTCAATGTAGATAAGTTGTCAAAGTGCATCAAAAAGCATATCATTAGACTAACAGAGCTTGTTAACAAAGAAAAAGTGCTAGGTGAGACCCCCATACCCCCGTCAGAGGTATTATTAGTTTGTGTTTATTAACTGGCCCCATACCTCCTGTCATTTAGCAGGAGTAGCCCCAGGGCAAAGCAATGAGAATATCCCTGGTCTACAATCAGCTACCACTTCAATTAGCTTCTTAGTCTACCCTTATTTATAGCAATGATGGTAGATACAATACAAAACACATTGGAATAACGCAACACAATGACGTTATTATGTTTCAAATCTCAGGCTGTTGTATAAAGCAGCACCAGTTCTAGCTTTGTACACCTAATGAAAGGGCATATTTCCAACGTGTCTCGGAAACACATGAACTCAAACGCACCTTGTTGTGGGCATCTGTGTGGCGGATTACATTTCTCAACAGTGTCTTCCCCAGCGGCTGCCTTGACATGATCACACCTGAAGTGAGACAAATGTAAATCATCATCAGGTTAAACTGATCTTTTGTTAATTCAATATAAGAGTCATTTCTATTATGTATACATAGCTGCAACAATAATAACTCTGTTACATGAACATCACATGTTAGCCTAGCTCGCTAGCTAATACTGTTAGATATTCGGATTCAAGAGTATATTTCAATAAACAAAATGTAACTTGTTAACAGTCGGCCTTAATTACTGCTTACTATTACAACACGTTCAACTTCATGTTGTAGATTTGTACAAACTGTACCTTTTCCAAAACGAGTAGCATTCAAGAAGAAGAAAACACGGCTTACAGCATCTACCGGTACTTCCGCTTTGCACGTCATACGTCACCAAACGTTGGCAAGACTGAACTCTGATTGGTCCAATGGTCCGTCCATCAATGACGTAAAAGCTTTACATCAAGTGCCTTGTGTGGTACAAAGCAGTTTGTTTTCGTGTGTTTTAATCAGAAAATGGCCATATCTCTCACAATTGCAAATCAAACCTACTCCGAGGACTACATACCTATTTTCCCTCTTGAATTCGTATCACAGGGAAACAACTAGTAGCCATACAAAGGTGAAAACCATGGACACATCACAGAATCACTCAAGTTGTGCTCAGAGTTATGAGAATGTGCCGCTGACGACTACACTTTACTGGAAAATTGGTCACAGCATTGTATCGCTTACACATCCTGATACATTTCACATGATAAAGAGCAAAAAACACCAAAAATCAAAAATATATAATAATGAATAAAACACAAATAATAAAGACAAAATAAATTAAAAAATAAAGAATTACTAGAGGGGGGACATATAGACTTATGGGGGTAGGACTTTCAATGAATTACGTTTGTATGTTATATAAAGTAAATAAAAAGAATAAGCAGCCTGAAAGCTTTACTGTAGTTGGCTACAGTATTTGAGTAAATGTACTTACCCAAATATAAACAAGGTTAAATATAAAGGATGCCACACCCTGCACAACTGATGTAAAGTCCTCAGAGTGCCACACAGTATGCTACATAAAATGCTACAAACAGGAGCTGCAACATCAGCCAGTTCTGGTAATGTATGTCATACATACAAGAGGAAGATCTCTTTGTAACAACTAATTCATTTCAGTCTAGTTACAATACCCTGGCAGTAATGCAAGCACAGCGTGATGAAGAGTAAGTGGTGCTCAATTAAATGGTAGCCAGTGACAGCCAATAAGTGGACTACTTGGTTACATGTATGAATAATAATAATAATAATAATAATAATAATAATAATAATAATAATGGGTTCCATTTATAAAGCACTTCATATTTGATTTCAAATCCCGAAGTGCTACAAGCAGTGAGCAACACTGTGATCCATATTACCACCAACCATGAAGATAATGGTGTGCTTTCAATATAACCCAGTGGGAATCTAAGTTTCATTTTATGTTATGTATGCCTCTTCAACCTAATTTTAGATGAATACCTGTCAGCTATATGCTACAGTCTCGCTGGATATAAAGTGTTTATAATAGGCAGAGTTTTCTTTGAAAGTGCTGCTCACGCTTCAAGATGTTTGATGCTTACTGTAGCTCCTTCAAGTTCTGACACCAGTCACTGTGGAGAATTTCTGACACAAATCATGGACGACTGATAATCGAGGAAAGAAATGTCTCTTTATTTTGCTTTTTTGTTATTTCCTCTCAAAATCATTGGTTTAAACTTCATTAAAGAAGGTATTTTAGTCTTTGTTGAGTTACACAGATCAAACCAGATTTGAAGCAGTCAAAGTAGTTTAGTGTACTGTTTTATTGCAGTTATTGTACATTAATGTACCTGAATTAGTTGAACATTTTGTATTTGTAGCTCAATTCTGATCGAACCAGGATTTCAAATAAAGCATTCTATTTTTTAGAATGTTCTCATTATTATTACACCTAAATAAGTTAACCAAAAAGTTGTATTTGTATTAAGTTTCAACTTTACCAAACAGTTTCTGTTATTAGGATAACACATGTAGGAGGTGATGCATCATTGGCAGAGGTATGAATGCTTAATCATTTTCAGATCATTTCAGAGCAAAATTGTTTGTTTCTCTATGGCAGCTATTTAATGCACAGATATGCAAAATAGCGGGTTTATAATAGCAAAAACAACTTTCACCTATACAGTGTTATCTCCCCAACAATAACCCTCATGGACTTCTTTCCTAAATTCTATTTGACAAAACAAAAAAGATGGGATTCTTGGGGAAAAAATCTTATCAGTCTGTGGGGCTTCATGCATATCTGAAGGTCACTGAAATAAAAAAGATGGGTAAATCTTGTCTCGTGGCGGGCACAATAATGATTTACAATCAGAACAAACAATCTGCTCTATTTTACCAACTCATTTGAATTTCAAATTGGCCGACTGCATGCTGTCCCTGTGGCAAACACACTTTCTTCTCCTTCCTTCCCTCCCAGTGGTGGAATGACTTTCCAGCCACGCTTTGAACAGCAAAGTCACTCCTCATAGATCATCCGTGCAAGCATAGAATATTGTTTCATGATACACTTTGTTTCCCCCAACTTCCTCAGTCACATCTTGGTCTCCAAAATCTTCATCATCTGCCTTCCCTGTACCCGAGTTTGTCCTTGTCTTTTTTTAATATTGAAGGAAAAACATTCAAAGAACTGAGCGCACAAAGAAACAATGGGAACTATATGAAGGATTTTCCTGGAAAGGCTTTTTGAAAAGCTTCTGAATTTGCCAAACTGATATCAGCACTCTGTCATCATCACCTTCTGCCAAATATTCATGCCACTTTTTCTTTGGAAACAATACTTACACTAAGTCTCTTTTCTCTAGTTTTGGATAGAGCCCCTAAGCTATTTAATCCCCATATCAAATACTTGGATATGCATATATCTTTGATTTACTTGCCAGGTGGGACATATTAGTTTGTCAGCAGAGCAAAAAAGCATAGCATAAACATCTGAGGATGATAAGAGGCAGAACAACTAGTGATTCCAATAATCCTGAAAGGAAGATTCATTGTTAATTTAGGCAACAATAAGCTAAATAAGTTCTCATTGATACAGTATGATGTTAACATAACATTTTCTCTATCCTCTAAAAGTGAGTGTAGGCCCATAATTGTTTTTAATTGTTTTCCAAATAATGAATGCATCATGTTGAGCTACTTAAGCACCAATAAAGAACATTGTGTTTCATTTTACAGTAAGTAATGTCATTAATTTGTTAATTAATTTGTAGTGTAAGTTTATAGCTAAATGTGTCTTATACTGTAGGAAAGGCTGCATGATGTGGTTTGAACTTATTTGTGTCCTTTCATCTATTGAATAAAACAAGTGACCCTACTGTAATATTAGTAATATTCATGTATCTAAACACTCCTGCTTCTGCTGTTGGATGCAGTGTAAATCTAATGCTGCATTACTCTGGTGGTCTACTACACACATGTCCATGTCTCTGTCATATTGCTCTTTAGCTCATTAAATCATGTGTTGATGGTGCTCTTACAGAATTTAAAGCACTGTCATTTTGTTCTGGGCTCATATGCAAACTGCCACTTACAAACCTATTTAACATTCTTGCTGGTGACGCCAAAACATTTCTAACAGTTTAATGACTGAGTGCTTTACAGCAAGTATTTAACACTATCAGCACATGTTCTAGAACATATTTTGTTTCTGTTGCCTGCTGCCCAAGTTGCTAACATAACACTTTAACACTTTAATGTTAAATGCCTTTAATGTTTCAGCACATTTTATTTGAAAAAAAGTGTTTTTTTGGTCTTCCCTTCACCATTGCTGTTAAACGTCTGGTCACTGCATGCAATACACGTTCATGAATAATCTGAAATGAGCTGTAATTGTAGGCTCATGTTTTCATTTTATAAATACCATTTTCTGTTTGTGTTTTTCCCCATACTTCCTCTGACTGTGTAAATCTATCATTAACCTCTGACATGTTTCGGCATGCGTGGTATGTTGTTGTTGTTATGCAAGCTTGTGATTTGGTTGAATCAAACAAAACACAGATTATCATTTATCTTTGTCGATCCACATGCTCTCATTTTAGCTGCAGGGAAATACAGTAAACACAAAAAGGGAAAGGAGTGAGAAGCAGAAAAATATCTCTCCTCCTTGTGAAAGGAGAGCAGTGAGGAAAGAAGGGAGGAGGAATGAGAGAGAGGGGGGAGGGTAAACACACCCAGACAGAGCCATGTCTGACATCCACGCTGACTGAAAGAAGGAAGGACTGATACAAAGCCAGTGCGTCCGAGCAGAAGAGAAAAAGGGGAAGGAGGGAGGGAGGAGAATGCAAAAAAGACCGGCAGAGAAAAAAGGCTAAAAAGATGCACAAGAGCTGCATCAGTTCTCGTCTGCAAGGAACAAAAAACATTGTGTTCGTGAATGGGAGCTGGTGAGCTCAGGCACAGGGCGAGTGCAATGAGAAACCAGGCAGACTTCAGACTCTGCTGTTGCTGAGCACCCTCTCTCCCTCTGTCTCTCTTACTGCCAGCTAGGACTGAGCCTAGGTATGATAGACAGGCTTCTGGGTATGATTTGGAGCTTTGTTTTTGGGGGATATGCTGATGGCTGGCTTTAAACGTGCTGTTATTTCTGATTGAACACAGTGTGCGACGTGGAGACGCCTCTGGTCGCCTGCTTCCAGGGCTGCTCCCCTCCCTGCTGTCTGAGCCTGTTTGGGCTATGGTCCTGACTGAGAAGCAGAGCATCACCCAGATGTGGGGCTGCAACTGTATGGGAGGTTAAGCCAGTAAACACCAGCATGGGAGCCAAACAGATGAAATGGTAAGAGCAGTTTTTTATTATAGCATTATGGCAACCCAGGGTGCTGTTTTTGTCTAGCGAGTGCATCCGTAGCAGAGATATAAATACAGCAGGCCTATATTCAAGAGGATATACATCATGGTAATACTCTTATCAGCATGCTGGATCAGGCTTAATGCTAGTAATGCATTTCACCATTGCAATATGACTTTGCTAGCTTAACTGTGCAGGTTATTGTTCACTGTGTTTACGGTGCAGTAGGTGTGTCCCTGTCTCTCAGAGCTGGGCTGCTATTGCCTAGCAACCACTATGTGACTACCATTACCGGCTCTTCCATCTCATGATCAGGATGGAGGTCATACATTTTAAATTGTATAAAAATAACAATTACAATACAGTCTCACTTATGAAGATATGTCTTAAAGCCAGCATCCTTGCCTAGATTTGGTACAATTACAAGACGAGATGCAGTTCAGTATTTAACTCTAGGACATCCCAATATAGGGATCTGGCCTCTGTAAACAGTTCACAAGACAACATTGACAAGACTTGAGAGGATCATTTAGGAAATAAACAAATATTTAATAATTTTAATGTAAAAAAAGACAGTATGTTTTCCCAG